AATGTGGAGGGTCGGATAGACCCACTGACTTTGAACCTAACCTAACCTAACCCCTTCTTGATGCTTATTCACGCTATACGAAGCAGTAAGATTTTTAGATTTCAAGTTGGTATGTATATTGAAGACAGATTGGAATTAATGGTGATGATATTATTCTGAATATATTTTCATGAAGAATTAATAAATAGATTGGAATCATTTTAGAAGAGCAACGAATTAAAACTTTCGGAGGATATCATTGAAAAGTTACGAAAAATATTTCGTCTCCATGTACTTTCATTGTTCAATGAGCCAGTGTAATAACTATATGTAAGAAAATGTGTCCTTCCATAGTTTTCTCCTAGATCCGAAACTAATAAAGAAAAGAACAATCATATAGGGTATTTCTTTGAGCGCTTCCTATCTTCCTATATCATCGAAAAGTTTTATTCAGTTGAAAGACCTATTGATGACATTATGTGTGGAATATTCTATAGTTCGAATGTCCAACATGACTTCTCCAGGTGTAGCGCATCAGAAACGTCCAATTTTCCATAACTCTGACATGCACCAGGCTGAATTTGACCAATGACATAGGTTATGTTGGCTCGAAGACCGCTGTGGTATGTGGCTTATTCGCATACACCTGCAACTTGAGAGAATCCCACAAGAAAAAGTCTAACGGGGTCGAATCGCACGATCTCGGTGGCCAGTTCAAAACACCCCCATGTGAAATGAACATGCCCTCAAATCGCTCATAATAATAATAATAATAGCGTTTATTACCCAACAGTTTCCCATTTACAGAGCAACACCAACATACTTGAAGGATTAATACTATTTGATATAAGATCAATACTATTTGATATAAAAAACATAAATGACTTATAGGTACGCACGAGACTTATTTTTATTCCACAAATACTGCAACCAAAACTATCGATGTTAGTAGAGAGCTTGTTCGCATTACGACACTTCAGACTGATTGGTGATTTCAACATCAAGTTAGTTTGTGCCCTTTTGCATAAAAAAGTATTGATGTGCCTAGAAGATATTCTGGGAACAAAGATATCAATTTTTGATAATAGTACAGGACAATCCAATTTGCCATTCAATAGCTTATATAGAAATAAAACAGATGTCTGATTTCTTCTTTCTTGGAGGATAAGTTCCGGTCATTCTGAATGTAAGAAATTTTAAAAATTTCTCTTGGACTCTATCAATTGCTGATGTGTATTGATGGTATATGGGATTCCATATAATGGACCCATATTCTAGTTTTGGTCTCACCAGACTGAAATACATTATAAAACCGTATGCGCGGTAAGCTGAATTTATAATATGATTAATATGGTATTTGAAAGTTAGTTGATGATCAAAATAGATTCCTAGATCCCTAATATTCTCAGCTCTTTCCAATATAATGTTGTCGATGTGGGAAGGAAATTCTAGTGTATTAAGTTTTCTACTGAATGTAACAATTTTACATTTAGATATACTCAAATGGAGGCGATTCTTGAGATATCAATTTTGTAAAAGATCAATCTCCTTTTTGTATAATGTTACAATCATCTAAACTGTTTATAGATGTATACAGTTTCAAATCATCAGCAAACATTAATTTATTGCAAGTTATTGAGTTGCACAGATCATTAATAAATAGTAAAAACAATAAGGGACCAATATTGGATCCTTGCGGGACTCCGCTGGTTGCTACATACACATCTGAAGAAAATCTGCGATAATAAACGTATTGTTTACGTCCGCTAAGGTATGATTCCAAAAGTTGAAAATAAAATTCATTGAAACCCATGCAAGAAAGTTTACAAATTAGTAATTTATGGCTGACCCTATCGAATGCTTTAGAGAAGTCCTTGTACACCACATCTACATGCAGGATATCCAGTGTGGCATGAGATGTGTGACACATAGCGCGATCCTGTTAAAACAACATGTCGTTGGTGTCCAGATCATCCAATTCAGGCCAAATATAGTTGGTAATCATCGACCTATAGTGCTCGCCGTTGACAGTGATGACCTGACCAATATCATTCTCAAAGAAATATGTATCGATGACGCCGCCAGCCTAAAATTCATACGAAACAGTAACTTTATTGCTCTTGGACCTCATGTGGGTTGGTATCGTCCCAAAATCACCAATTTCCTTTGCTCACGTACCCATTCATCCAGAAATGGGCCTCATCGCTAAAGACGAAAATTAGGGTCAGTTGCCAACTGCACCAGAGCCCATTCAGTGACCACACGTCGTTGTCTATGTTCGTTTACCTTCAGTTCCTGGGTCAGTTTAATTTTGACGGGTGCAGACCCATGTCACGACGCAAAGTTCGCCAAGTTGTGATCTGCGAAAGGTCGAGTTCTCGTGAGCGACGCGAGCTTGACTGAGTCAGATTCTTCTGCACGCTCTCACAGACAGCGACAGGTGTTGATCGAACGTTTACTGAAAAAGTGGACTCAAACTCATCTACTACATTGCGAATAGTCTCAGTAAGACGATTATGGCGACCGTCAAATGGACTTGGCGCGCGGTACGATGCCCCAACAGAACACCCATTTTGATAAAATAATTTCATTATTTGGATGTGTTCTTCAATGCTACATCTGTCCTTGGTGATTTGGCAAAATAGGGAACATATGATGGATTGGCCGATACCTAATAAAAGTCCATAACTAACCTATTCAAAAAACACTTTATTGTGAGATTTTCAATAAACAGTTCAACAAAAACGCAACACGTGTTTCGCCATGCAATGGCGTGTCTTTACTCGCCCGAAGAGCCATTGTATGGCGAAACACGTGAAAATCTCACAATGAAGTGTCTTTGAATACGAATTACAACTAAGTTGAGAGATGTAACCTCAACAAGATGACCCTTATCAATTTTCAAAACATCCGTTACTCAGAATTGATAAATCTTTCAACAAATTTGTCTTTTCGAGTACACTTCAACAGACATTTTTCTACTCCAAGTACATGAAATTTTGTGTATGCGTTCGTATGTAGACCCAAAAGAATCACAAGTTAAAAGGTAAGACCTCCTTAGTCCTCAGCTCGCACAAGTTTCGACTTCTAAGGGTTGTCGTTCGTAGGGGTGCGATAGCTAGTTAACAAAAGAAACACATATTTTAAACATATAACACATATATTTGTAAACTCTCTCATGATTAAATATCAAAGGTTCATTGTAACGATAGATTGTATGAATAAAACTGATCTGCTTATACTTGATTCTCTGGAAACACAAGAATCAATCTCACTTCGTACGAAGTGGTTTTCAACAAAAAAAACTTGTAGGCATACCTATCAATCCTCTAACTGAAACAAACATCACATGATTTAACTTTGGAAACTGCTTTATCTTCCACTTTCAATATAGCATTATATTTCCAATAAAAGATTATTTCCGTAAACAATGCTTTTACTACAGGAATATTAGGGAAACGTTCGTCAAATTAAAGAATTTAACAAACAAATCAAATGAGCGAATGAATGTCATTACGTACTGTCACCGATGAACCGTAGTTCTTATGAATGAATTGAGTGATTCATCTTAAGATGTTATCCAGATTGATGCTAAAGCCGCAAAAAGGCAAGTGTTTTATTCGGAAATATGGATGTTTCATGTGTTTCAGTGTTTCATGTAAGTGAAATTTCCACTCTTTCATTTATTATATTGTGTAAGAATTCTGTGAATGATATGTGATTCAATTCTATAACGACTGTTTGGGTACAAACTGAATGGTAAAGAGTGTTTTTTTTATAACTCAATGTTCAAATAAAAGTAGTTGGTACGTAAGTATTTTTTGTACAACTGTCATTAAAAGTGACATTTTTATTGGTGGTCAAGAGTATTGAAAGATGATGTTTACAAAGTAGCGTGTCAAAAATATTTTCAACACTAGTGTTGAAAGTATTTTTAACACGATTTTTTTCGACCAAATAGCAATTAACAAAACATAAGTATTCAATTTTCAAGGAAGTTTTATTATGAGGAACATTCATTGATACATTTAAATTCTGTTATAAAAGTATTATATACATTAATTACATTAGTATTATTATTTATGAACATTAATATGAAAAGTACAATTAGAACAACTGCTGATATTAATACCTTGCGATGTTGAAAAGCCTTGTGAAATATCTGAGTTGACAATTTTATGGCCATTAACATTTAATTCTTGATGTGAAGTGAACGATGCTGTAACGCTGTTGGGATTATTCTTTCAGCAACAGCCTTTTTCCAAGAAATACATTGATCGATGTAACCCTCAACTTCTGTTGTAGACTTCCATCCACCGTGCTTCCTAATATCCGTTATATTTGCTCCTCATTCTGCTAACAAAGAAGCAGTAGACCTTCTGAAACAGTGACCTGTTAATTCCTTTGCTACTGCTACCCTCAGCTACTGTTGTAGACTTCCATCCTCCGTGCTTTTTAATATCCGCTATATTTGCTACTGATTCTGCTAGCAAAGAAGCAGAAGACCTTCTGAAACAGTGATCTGTATTTTCTTTTGGTTCCGGTAGGTTTAGAAATTCAGCAATGGTAGAGGGCATTTTGTTACGTGTTAATTTACTTTTTTTATGATTTTCGTTAAATCAACTAGAAAAAAAAAATACAACTTCGATGTTTATTTATTTATTTATTGTTATGACATTTTTGAAATAGTGCTTCCATGAGATCCGTTAAATTCTAAGTTTCTGTACCCTGAAAATAATACACTCTGTATATTCAATTGCATCTAGTTATCATTCAATCACTTACCATCAATCAGTTCTTGTTTATAATTGCCTTGTAGTAATTGGTGCTTCGAGTGTTCTCTGAGATTCCTGTGGAATACAAATACGAGAAATAAATAACCTAACATTCTCATATTTAGTTCTTCAAAATATACATTCACATCACTGTTGAGTTATATTGGCAATCTGTGTCACTTCTGTTAAGTTCATATCATTGAAAGGTTTGATTAAAAGGGTTCACCTGTGATGTCATAGAAGATGATTTTACCCCGAACAGACCGTCTGTGACATCAATAACCATGACGACCAGATAACCGCAATAATTAACCCATTTCATGGGATTGCGAAATAAAACTGACTAGATGACAAGTTGACATACCTTTGAAAGAGGGATATCCGGTCCTTTTTTTGATCATCACGGCACATGGCAGGAGCTAAATTTGAGAATTGTGCTCACATCTTGGATGGATTTGCCTTATACGTATTAGGAGGTGAATATAAAAGTTTCTTATTCTTGAGAAAAGAAAGAAATATCCACTTCAGTGTTTTGGGATTTGAATTATTCTATCTTCCTAATCAAGCCGTAATCGTTAGACCTCACTTCAGGCCGTCCACTATATACAGGTACATCTTCCACTAGCTTGTCAACTATCCATTGAGAGGTATCTTAATAGGCACCTCTCCCAAATAAAACTGGAACTTGGCATAGAATTGTTCGTATAACCTTACTTTGTTTCAGGCCTTTTCATTTTTGGCCCCTTTCGCTTTATCTCTTCGTTGTACGTTGGTTACATCTTGACGATTAGCTTATTGTTACCTTTATTACGGTACTACAAGAAGTCTCTGACAACCAGAAAATCATTGATTACAACTATAATACTTACCACAGAATCTCAAGATCATTTATGAACACACCAGATCTCCACAAAGTTTCGAACGAAGAGAAAGATATACGCTGGCAACACGTTGATCAGGCGAGCTCTTTCCATTATTTCTATTGCTTTACTTATATTAATATTACACCTCTTGTTGCTTGTCAATTATCCTGTTTATTGGTTACATTTGAATGCTGCTTTTTGGCTGTGAAGCCTTATCTACCAGTGATTCTGGAAAAAAGAATACAACTAACTAAATATCACAACTCTGAAATTATATTTACTTACCACTTACTAGTTTATATATATATATATATATAAACTCTGATGTATATATACATAGGGGTATCAAATGATCATGTCCTTCTCCCTATGCTGATTGAATGTTTCAATGTTAAATCTATATGTAGTTAAGTCTACTTGCAACTTGCACAACGAATAAATCCACTTCCTATCACACGAGAGTATTTCTTCCACGACCCACTCTCCGAAAGTAGCTAACCACAGTATTTCAATTAGTAAAAACCCCATTATAGCCCCCAAACGTTGCTCCTATCATTTAGAGGCGTTTGCAGGTTATAATTTTCCCAAACGTGTTTATACCAACTGGGTTGGCACTGTATTTATAATTTGAGTATATCAGAGAAAAACTTTGATGATTGATAACAGAAGGGCATAATGCAACGCATTTATTAAAATATCTTTTAACAATACAAATAAACGAGCTATTTTCGTTTTTTGTATTTGGAATTTGAACAATCAATGATTTATCCATTCATTTAATGTCTTCTATTAATAAATGGCACAGCTCTTCACGCCGGCAGGCTCCATATATTCGGAAAATAGTAGCAACTTTTATCATCAAATATTTTTTATCTGGTGCCTCTGGCGCCAGATAAACTTCTGAACTTATGACCTTATAAACCTCTGGACTTGTTCAAACAAGAGTTTTTGATTTTTGGGCCTATAACTTTAATTTTTCCGCTGTAAGAATGGTATTACCTCAAAATATTTGCTTGTATCAACACTATTTTTAACGAGCGCATTTGACTTCATTATTGAAAACTTGCTCCACAAAGTTGACGAGTTCCATATTATTTATTTCTCTTCTAGATAGGCTAAGAAGACAGTCTCGCTGAAATTTACTTCGACGTTTTTAAGTCTACACCAGCTAAGAAAACTAGAATATGCGATGTCGTACTGCTGAGCCGATTTTTTTGAAAACAATTCAATTGAAGCTCTTTTTGCAGCTTCTTCAATATCGTCAGGAACACACAGTTCCTCACTATTATTCTTCATTAGGCAAGATATTAAACACCAGCAAGAACTTTGAATGTGACTTCAAATAAAACGCGTGAGCTGTAAACAATACCGTTTGTTGGTAACCAGGTGATTCGTCGTCACCTGACACGGTCACTTCACAGCAAATGCGATAACATGAAAATAGTTAACAGACATAATATGTCAAAATGTGTTTGTATAGAAATATTGAATTTATCCATTTTATTATGTAAACAGGACAGTTGTACAAAACACTTTGTATGATATTTGTGTTAAAATAAAGAAATAAAACCTTACTTTCAAAACTCATATCATAAATAGCTATTTCTTTCGTGTAATTTAATGTTTGTATGAAGTAGTTGCTTTGAGAGAGGTTTCTGTTCCAGTTTGTGTTTGAACATTTTTTCCTTGCATGATCTTCACATTTTTGTAAATAGCTTTTTTCGAAATTGATTGCCTTCTCCCTTTCGTTGGAAAATTCCCATCTAAATATGGGAAAGTAGAAAGCAAACCTTTTTTACCCATGAATTTGATATTTCGCAGAAATATCAATATATAATGTCACTGAAAATTATTTGTTTTCTTCGAAAGTCATTCACCGTCACTTTGCGAAGATGTTTTTCGCGAATAGGAGTGACAATCACATAATAATACCAAGGGCGTCGCCAGTTCATGACTAAGGGAGGGGGCAATATTATGGAGGACAAAAATATGAACGCCTGGTACAGTCGAAAGCATGAAGCGTTACATTTTGGAAGTCTTTGCCTCGATGATGACTGTAATAAGAACGGTTCTGATATCAATGTATAAAACTTCACAAGCCCTCGACAGCACAGTAACTGAATCAAACTTTCAAACACAGTAATAATTATTTATTTTAACAAAAATAATATTTAATTAAAACATAACATGTGGGGATTTATTGCGAATCTTCCAACCACTTTATCATTAAAATTATTTAGGTTTTTATTTATTATTGCTCTGTGTACACTTATCATGGCCAGACCATTGAAGCGATCTTCTGCCATGGTACTTCATAGCCATGCTTCCAGTCTTCTGAGGCTGCTAAAGGATCGCTTTACTGTATGGTAAAGCGATCAAAATTTTCAATGTTTTTCCTTTTCGGGAAAGAAAGAATTTTGTTTCTTTTAGGACATCAACAACTGTAAGATATGTTAGATTAGGCCACAATTGCTGCCAAAGTTCAATTTCATTCTTTATGTTCGGTAAATCATAATACTGGGCAATAGATTCACAAGTTTGTTTCAGATTTTCAGTTGTCATTTTTTGCATCTGCGCCGGGTGTGATTTAGATATTGCGAATGATGGCGTATTTTCTTCAGCAAAAGATACTTCAAGGGAGGTGGTAATTGAATCCAAGTATGGTATTAAAGACCGCTTTCAGTATTCTGAAGGGCTTTCTGCTGGATGATTGATTCTATGACGTTGTTCTCCCGTAATACGCAGCATTGATGTAATGCCCTCCTCCAGTCCGACTTTCTCTGCAACAGCAGTAGCTTCCTTTATAATTTTGTCTGTCACTTTTTCCGGATTTTGACGGTGGTTTTTATTTGAAAGTAAAATCTTTTTAACGTGTTCCGAAGCTTTGACCACGTCCAAAGCTACTTATTGGAGTACGTTGACAACGGGTTCCATCAAAGCCGAGTATTTGGCTACCAACATAAACCCGAGAATGAAAGAGATTCTGGAAGTAGCCGCATGCTAATGGTTTTGTGTTTCTCACTCCATCTTGTTTCGCAAAGTCTGGAAATATTAGATATCAACTTCCTCCTCAAAAAGGATTCTCGAAAAAAGTTTATAGTATCTTTGGTGGTTTCCATGGCATTTCTAATTTCAGGAAGTGAATTTAGATCATTGATAACTAGATTCCGTAGAAATGAAAGTAGAGGGCTTTGATGTATCGTTGATGACATCGTTAAACACCCATCAAAACCAACGCATTTATTCATATTCAGATCTTCTTTTGTCAAAAACTCATCTATGCTATGTGCAAAAGATTTCGCATCCAAATCTTTTAGCTCAATGAATCCAACAAACATTTCTTGGACTTCCTGTGTTTCTTCATCAAAATATCGCATGCCAATCGATAGTTAATCAGTGTCAGAAATATCAGCTGTTTCGTCTGCTAGCACACTATATGCTGCTGCTTCTTTCACTTTTTCCATAATATCAGCCTTAATAACGCTATCCACTGAACGGCAGGTTGAATTCTTTTTCCCTTGCTCAATGTGTTTCTTTAAAATCAAATATGCCGCGTCAATTCGCAGCCTGTATAAATCCTCGAGAATACCTTCACCATAATGTTTACCTCTCAGTGCTAAGTCGTGTGACCCGCAAAACGTAATGCGGGAAATAATAGACTTAATAATTTTGCGATTTTCTTCAATAACTCCCTGGGAATATTTTTTAGTTGCAAATCGACAGGCACACCTTCGAGAAAAGATTCAGCAGCTTTCAATGCATCCTCATTGCAGTCATCCTCATCCATCAATGAATCAGGATTCGGCGCCAGAGCCAGATATCTAGAGAAACTTGGTCTAGGTAGTTCCTGCGGCTGAATATAACCTGTTGTGGTTATGGTGACCGATGAAGACACATGCGATATTGTCGTTACTTTGTCCTGTTCATCAACGTTGCTACTTGATCCATCAGTTTTTTTTGTTCCAAACTTCCTGCAAAACAAAACGCTTTGATGAAACTATTGATTAATCATCTCAGGAAGCTTTTTAGCCTTATTTATATCAAGGATCTGTATTAATTTCTATTTAATTAAACCACAAATATAATTTATGTTTTGTTTTCATAAATAATTACTGAAAACAAAACCACTGTTGAGTTAACGTTAAATTCATAGAGATTGAATCAATAAACTCGTTTTTAATAAAAAATAAAATGATAGTTTTTTTAACATTTCCCTTCCACTTTATCGATCCTTTCTTTACACATCAAAAATACCCCAGATAAAATTAAAAATTATATTCTCAACAATTATTATACGTCTTTAGCTAGTATATCCTTTACCAAAGCTATTGCCTAAGAGAAATAAAAATACTAGCTCTAAGTCCAAGATTAAGGCAGTACATAACTTACTAAAAACTTTCTGATGTCCATTTTGATAAAATGATCAATGGAGACACAATCAGAAACTTCACAACTCAACACTGAGATGATGAGATCTTATATTATTAAATAAATATAAATCAAAATTGACTAACACAGGCAAGCCGGTAGTTTTATAATCGCTTTCCAATTCGCTTGTTTAGCTTGTTCGTTGATCGCTTCCAATTAAAAAGTGACTCGCTCGCAGCGGCTCACGTCTTTATATATGCAAACTAACATCATAGAATGTATGGTAACATTCTACCCGGTCTAGAAACTGCTATCAAATTCCAGACAGGTCATTGAACAAACGCCATCTAGCGTCGAGTAGTAATACTAGGGTTTACAAGGATTGTAGTCGATTTATTCAACTGTAGGCTGTAGGTATTTCTCATGAATACTTACACTTACAGATGGCATTGTCCACAAAACCAATTAAAATTGTATGTTGGTAACAATAACTTCTACTTTAGGTATGCTGCATACAAATTATAAATAACTAACGTGAATTCTGGTGAACGGCTGTCGTAGAAAGAAAGAAAGAAATGAAATGCACACAACACACACAAACACACACCATACCTACCTCTTACCTATATATTTTTACACTGTTTAATGGCAAATCTGATATAATCGTGATGATAATGGCAGCGATGTAATTCTGAATATTTCTATACTTTTTACAATATACATTAAACCTTGTGAATTTATTTATGTTTTGTCAAGCGATGCGGAATTTATCAATAGGTAAGGAAGTCAATTGCTCGCACTTTGGTCGCTTTGCAGCTAGCTACATTTAATGATGAAAATCAATTTGGTTTTAGAAAGGGACGTTCAACAACACAAGCTATAATAAAACAACTAAAAGAGCTATGTAATAGTCTAGATATGGGTAATCGAACTCTGGGTATTTTCTTAGATCTAAGTAAGGCATTTGATCTTGTAGACCACAGAATTCTACTAGACAAATTGGAAAAGTATGGTTTTAGGGGAAACTCACGTAGATGGTTTGAAAGTTATCTCCAAAATCGAACACAATACGTTAAAATAGATCAG